TGATGTCGAATTATTTTGACAGCCGTAGATTTTTGTTGCCTTTCAACAGCGCTGTGGCGAACCCCTATGTCTCCACTAATTTTTTGGTTTTTTTTTTGGTTTTTTACCCGTATGTCTCCACTGTTTTTTTTTGTTTTTTTTTTTTACACCCCTACGTCTCCACTGTTTTTTGCCCCTACCATATAGGTCAAGACAAGAGATGCTCCGGTCTGGGAAAAAAAAAAAAAAAAAAAAGGAAGAGGGGAAGGGCATTTTTCCATTCCTGGGGCTCGGACAGACTAGGACCGATTTACGCCTGTGCAATTTGGTTTTTGACCACGTGCCACTGTCCGTGACAAACGTCAATCGTCGATCTTTTTCCGTATCGACGGCTAGTGTAGATTATCTTCTTTTTCGTGGAGGTAGCTGCCCATAGGCCAGTAGAAAAATTTTAGAGCACTTGAGGCAAAACGGCCGGTAATGGTGAATGTATATGACCTACGTTGCGGGTCCGGTGGGGTCGCGTGGGGGTGTGTTGTATTCGCCGGATTGCCTGAAGTGCAATTACAAACTGTTTTCGTGACGGCGCCAAAGTTACCCCAAAATTTTAAATTTATTTGTCGTCATTGTAAGGCTTGAGAATGAGGGATGCACAGGATGTAAGGTCATGGTGTCTATGTCAGACTGATTTATTTATTTTTTTCGCTTGGGTCCTTTTCTTTGTATTCGTGTGAATGTAAAAAAAAAAATTACTCAATTTGTTTATGTGTTTTTAAATAAGAAAAGAATGCCACACACCGTTTTACACAATGCTCTTCCTTCCGGGCCCCTGGAAACTCAAGCAGAAAAAATTAATGCCCCTTAGTTACCTTTATTAACAATGGTCCTTCTATCTAGCGGCCTTAGGCTAGCTCAGTTGGTAAGGCAGGCAAGTGCGATTCAGGGGCGAGGTCCCATTAGCAGTCGGACAGGAGTGTGGCCTATCCAGTGTGACACTGAGTGGAAGCGGGCTGACGGGTTCATTACGAATTTCTGGGCTGAAAAAAAACGAGAAAGGCAAAAGAGAAAAAGAAAAAACAGAGACCTCCCTCCGGAAATCACGGCAGAGTGCTTCCCAACCATCAGATCACAAATGATCTGATGGTGGTAGTTGCAAAAACAGTGAACAAAGTAACGGCCACTTTTTTTCTGGAATAAACTCGACTTCTGTCAGCAGCGATCCTGACACCCTCTATATATATATATATATATATATTCTTCTCCCTCTCTGCCTGCGGTTTACCGGGCAGTTCTATTTGACGATATATATATATATATATATATATATATATATATATGATAGTCTACTTAGATTTTAGTCTACTTTGATTTTGGTTAAGGTAGATTATCACTTACAGTGTAATCAGTGAGGGGATTCTGCAGACTGTTGAGGGTTCAGCCTCCTGATGAGTCGGTGAAACTCCGACGGAACAGTTTGTCACAGCCCCTCGTT